AAGGCGAGCGGCATGTACGGCGTCGCTCTTGCTATAGCTGGTTACGAAGGCCCATTGGGTGGCAGAAAATTTAAAGACGTCACGGACAAGATCGTCAACAGTTCGCTTGTAGAGTTTATGCTTCGAACGGTAGTTCGAAAAGTCTGCCACGCTGCCCTTCGTCTTCCAGATCGAAATTGTCGTGCTCTGCTGCCAGCCTATTGGGCACCTTTTTCTGTAAGACGGTCTGGTAGAGGACCTCGTTAGCCATCCTGCGGAGTATCAGTGCTGTGACATCCACAAACCACCTGCTATGCTTTCGACGCTCGTATTTTACTTGCCTCCATCTTCTTCCTAACTTCCGTTTCCTCAACGGATGTCTTCCGAATGGGACTGTGTATTGGTGCGGCAAAGGGAATAGGATAGGTTCATGATCAAGATCCTCTCAACGTAACCGCACCATCGTTGCGATACACTCCTTCGGTTGATCAGAAGATGGCCGTTCTCATCATTAATGTCAAAAAACTTTTCTGTCTCCAGCTTGGCCGTGCAGGTGCCGCTCACCATCGCGCGTCTCGTTTTCCTGCTGATATCTTCAGAATGAGCGGCCTTCACTGCGGTGTTCGATACACGCAGTAACGTGGTGGGTCTTGCATATGGGCCAGCACTCGCTGCCGTAGAGTATCGCTGACCTAACCACTGCCCGGGAAACCTCGCCTTTGCGGCATCGCCGATCGCAGTGGTACCGGTAGGCTCCCTTAACTCCACGCAAGCCGCATTTACTCGGACCTTTTCTACCTGGTCCACGCTACCATCATGGGCCAGGCGGCGAAAGTTCTCCACTCTTTGGATGAATTCCCCACGATCATCTATATTTCCGGTGCACTCCTCGGAGCTCAGAAACCACTTAGTTATCGACCGGAGGCCATTCTCAGCCAGTAAGGCTGCGTTTATACTTTGCGGCAGCGTAGCGTAGCGCTTCCAGCGTACGCCAGCGGCAGTGTCGGGGAAAGGATAGATATCGATCTAGCGTTCCCAGCGTCACGCTACGCTACGCTGCCGCAAAGTATAAACGCAGCCTAACACCTGAGATCACTGCACCCCGCGTCGACGTGAAGGATAATTCTGAGTAGCCCCTCCACGAGTTCTTGTGCCATTACATCCAGGGCAGTCTAAAAAAAGGATAAAGTCTTCGCCGTTGATCAATCCCTTTGTGGGATGCGGCACGCATTCTACTTCCATTCAGAATCGTAGTGGCTTATTGAATGCGATGTGGCCTATACAATGACTTGCGGTGGCCAGCCGATGTACAAGTCAGTGTTTTATCCTCCCAGACGAATCTGGTACCAATTTACCGTCCCCGGAGGGTGGTTGGCCTGGGCGGGAGTCGACCCGGGATTCGAACCCGGCGCCGCGCGAGTGGTAAGCGCGCCACTTGTCACTACACCACCTCCGCCTCTCCACTACACCACCTCCGCCACTATCCACGGCGGTAGGAAGAGGAAAAGGTCAAGAGGTGGCCCAAGGTGTACTTCAACTCATATGTCGACATTTGTGAGGCCGTGCATATGTAAAGTCAGCAGGAACAAGTCTATAGCGCGAAAAGGAAAAAAAATGCGGGCTGGCGTTCTTCTCGCTACATTTTTTCGAAAACTTACAGCGAGTGCTGTTTTTCATAAAGACCGTGAATTTCCTTTTACTGGGGCAATATCAAAACATTGCAGATTGAAGGGATCTGCAGCTGCTTCTCTCTGAACAATGAAACGCTGGAACAGGTGATGACATTGCTGGAGGAAAGCATTGAAAAGGGTCTGAGCAGCGATGAAGGCACGTCTGAGAAGTATACTTCATTATTCATAACCAGTCGGATCGCCCGGCTAACGCCGAGCTCTCCTCCTTCTTGGAAGCCCGGCTTCGCCGGGCTCATGCAACTGCTTTAGAGCCTCACTTCTTAACTCGTGAAAGAAAGGAACAAAGTAAGGCATAAGCAGGGCGATACTACTGTCTTAGGCATTTATGATGCTCTCATGGTGACTAACCGGTGTCTTCTAATCAAATAAATGTAGGAACGCGCCATATAGTCGCAGGGCACTTTTATAATGAAAGGTTTGAAATCTGGTCATGGATAATCGATTACTGTCCTCCCCATCTTATGACAGCCACGGATTCTTCGGTCTCCGCAGTCGCTGCGTGCTCCTGTTCAGGCGAGCGTCGGTCGCGCCAATATGGTACCCCTTCACCTCACCTATCCCCAAACTAACCTCAGCTATTCCCCGCTCAGCCACCCTACAGGTCACGCTCAGCTGCTACGCGAATAGCCCGTGCAATGGTTCTGAGTGCACTAAATGGTTGTGTTATGTTGTGGAGGGTGTTATGACTATCAAAACGCTACCACAATTTGATAATGCAACATTAATCGGTTCAGTTCCGATTGCGGTCGATCCATTTCTCCATCTTGTCGCAACCGTAGACGCCTTACCGCCGCAGGGGCTATGTGCTCCTAATCGCGAAATCGCCGTTCTCATCTGGTATCCCCTCACCACATCATATCCCACTGACCCTATTTAACCGGCACCCACCCCGCACGTGGTATGCAGCCGCCATGCAACATAGGGACACTACTCCGCCACTGTTCTTACCACCGCCTTGCTCGTGCTCACGTCCAGCTCCCAAGCGAGCAGCTCCTGCAGTAGCACAGAGTATATCACAGTGGTTGGCCCCAGTTTGCCCGATTCAATCCATATGCCTCCTTCCCCTGCATGGGCTCAGATCCGACTGAGTACGCGCAAGGGAGTGAGGATGGGAGAAGGGGGTCACTCGATACTAACTCCCACCTTCCTCACCTCACCCCATTCCGTACTCGCCACTCCACCCCCCCCACCCCACCTTGCCCCTTGCACGCGCTTACGTCCAACTGCCACGCGAGCAACCCGTGCAATGGCTCGGAGTGTAGTGGTTTTCTTATATAGTGGAGAGTGTTATCACAACCAAAACAACTTCTTAGTTCGTTACGGTAACATAGATTGGCTTGCAGTTTTGTTAGCGGTTGTTTCCTCATCCCTTGGTGCGCATTTCTACTGAAACCCCTCACTGTACCTCTCTCCCCGCGACCCTCCCCTCTGCCTCCCTCCCATACACGTGCTCAGCTCCGGCTGAGCACGTGCAGGAGAGGGAGGCAGGGCGACCCCCCACCCTGCCCCCGCACGAGCACACGTCCAGCTGCCACGCCAGCAGCTCGTGCAATGGCTCGGAGTGTACCGAATGGTTGTCTTATATAGCGGAGGCTGTTATCACAATCAAATCATTGGACTGCTACATCCTCCCAGTCGGTTACCGGTTTGCCTAGCGGTCGTTTTCGCCTCCAGCGAACTCGAACCCGTGAAGTATTTTGCGGACGGACAGACAAACATACATACAAACCTACATACATACAAACATACAAACCGACACACAAAGTTACTGGTTTATAGAATGAAAGGATTCTATGCATCACGATAGGTGCGGATATGTTCACAAAGTTATAACATCTCACTACAATTTCGCCAGTCTAACCTATGAAAAAAAGACGTAATGATGCCTTCAAGATCATCTCGTGAAAAATCCTGTTTGATTCTGATGTCTGTCAACCTCCTGTCGAAATCAAGTGAGCAAAATTTGGCCGTGCTTGCCTAATAAGCGCGTCTACGATGCCCTTGAATGGAGGACATGGGCTACTTGCTGTTCCTTCGGCACGAAAAGATAATACCGTGCGCTTTCAAAGTATAGGTAATCTGTATTGTTGTTGTTTGTTCGGATTGGAAAGTTTCATGTACCATCAAAACACTTCATTGACTCACCTGTGTCTCAAACCCATGCTCAGTGGTAGTTACTAGAAATAGAGTAGGTGTGGTCTAGTACGTGATTGATGAGGCGAGGACGGAGTGATTGAGATTGACTGGAGGGAGGAGAGGACTTAGAGTACGGAGCTCTGGAGGAGAGAGACGAGATAACATCAACTACAAAATATTTAATAAGAAAACTTGGAGATCTCCCGTGTTCCAAACGTAAGAGCACCCTAGGGGGGATTTAATATGTGAAATTCTCTCCACTTTCAGCTCGCGTGTAATCATGCGGCCTTACTTTGCGGGAGCGCACCACCTTTTCAGTGTGTGTTGGCAATTTAACCATAAGCTTAAAAGCGATGGCTGGGGGCGGATGGTTGCTGCCAATACTCCTGGTGGAGTGGTTGAGAGGGGATGCCTAAGCAAACCTCACTCTACTTTTCTACTGAGAAAAAGTAGGTGCGATGAGCTACATGAAGGCTGGTTCATTCAACGCAACCAGTACTAAGCAACTTGGTCATTTTCCTCGGTGTTTTGACAACTTTACGGATCCCACTTTTCTGTGGAAAAGAATCTCGGACAGCATCTTACTCACAATTATCTTCTGGATTCTACGTTGATTCACGTTAGGCGTTCTCGTTCCAATTCTATCGCGTCGATCAGATCACGCAGCATGGACACTGGCCTTTTTTAATGAAAAGTACCATCTGAGAAAACGCTAAGTCAGCTTCGATCACTGCATGTGATTACGCGGTAGAGGCTCTACGACCAGATGAGCACAAAAACAGTTCACTTCGAAATTTTTCAGAAGAAAATGCAGATTACAGGGTTAGTGCGCTACGCTAGCCATGACGAATGGTTTAGTGATGTTATCATTTAGGTTAGTTAAGTCTAGATGGGCGGATGGATGTTTTGATGGCCTCAGAAAAGATCCACTTGTCCTCAGAACCAACTACTCCACTGAGAGATCTCGTTAGTGATATGCTCAGAATTACTAGCAGCGCTGTGCACTCTGTCCTATTTCTGCAGTGTAGAATGGACCATAGCGAGTGGCGCTGTCGATATGCCACTATGTTTATCACTACTGAACTGTTATTTTATAGAAAAGAATTATGTTAAATATGGATTGGTATGAGGTTTTGCTGTCAATAGGAAGTTATCTCCATTTCGTTGCAGACGAAGAAGGCGCTTTGAAAATGCTACCAACACATGTGCGAGCAATACCGAATGGTGAAGAGAGCGGAGACTATTTAGTACTAGACCTTGGTGGAACTAACTTTCGCACTCTCCTCATACGTCTCAATGGAAGAGAGGCCGAAATGACCGGAAAAGTGTACAGTGTCCCCCAAAGCATAATGCGTGGTAGTGCAGAAGAGGTTGGTAGCAATTTTTCTCATAGCAAAAAAACTTATCGATATTTCCACATGAGCTCTCCCTCTGTCGAATATACGAGTCGAAAAAGTATGATATGTTCGGTTCTCATGTATACTTTTACCAGCTTGGCTGACGCGCACTACTGCGCGCATGGTTGAATCTATGGTAATGGTACTAATCGCTGACAGGATTCCTGTGCTGACCCCGAACACTGGGCCCGAGCGCCATTTTT